CATTAAAGGGAGGGGCTAAAGAAATTCATTTTCAAGATTACAACAGTTTGGTGATTGATGAAGTAACCTTACCTAACGTAGTGGCTAACTCCACTTTAGGAGAAGAAGAAGAAAATGATACAAGTGAACCAGCTGTGAAAAGAGGCAGGAAGTCAAAATTAGCACAAGAACTACTTAAATGCCGGTTCTTTTCTGGTGAATGGTCTGAGTTCTGTGAACTTATACTAAGCAGTGAAAAACCTTTTGTAAAATATGATCTCATACTCACCTCAGAAACCATTGACAACCCAGATTATTATAGTGCTTTGCACGAAACATTCCTCAGGCTTTTAGATAAAAATGGACAGGTGCTTTTGGCCAGTAAAGTACATTATTTTGGTGTAGGTGGAGGTATTCATCTCTTTCAGAAGTTTGTAGAGGAAAAGAATGTATTTGAAGCTCGAACACTTGAAGTAATCGATGAAGGCCTAAAGAGGGTCCTAATTGAACTAACTTTTAAACATCCAGTTAATAACCCTACTGTGCTAAGTGAAATAAATTGAGTTACCAAATCTTAAAAAAAAAAAGAAATTAAAACAACAACAACAATAACAACCCACCAGGTTGTGCTGGGGAGTCTGCAGTCAGGGAACTCTCTAAGGTATTGAGGAGCAACAGTGTGAGTGTGAAGACTAAGGTGTGCCTGATTTAAGCCATGATCTCTTTGTTTCTTATGCATTTGAAAGCTGGATATTGACAGTAAAATAATTGATGCCTTTGAGCTGAGGTGTTGGAGAAGAGTACAAGCTATTCCATGAACTGGCAAAAGAACAAACAAATATATCTTGAAAATATGCACCAGGGTGCTCATTAGAAGAAAGTATGGTGAAACTCCATCTCACATACTTTGAGCATATTTCTAGGAGAGGTCAGCCTTGCAGGAGACATCATGCATGGGGGGCGGGGTAAGCAGAAGAGAGGAAGACCCCCAATGAGATGAACTGGCACCGAGGTTAGGGTAAAAGTGGGGATGGTAAGGATGGTGCAGATAGGGCAGGGTTCAGCTCTGCTGTTCATAGAGAGGCTGTGAGTTGTGATCTACTGAAGGGCACCTACTAGCAACAACAACAACAATATGAAGAAGAATATGGCATCAAGACTGAAGGAAGACTTAGCAAAAACATGCATTATGCGGACACCACCATGTTTGCAAAAAGTGAAGAAGACTTGAAACACATATGGAAGAAGATCAAAGATCTTCAATATGGATTAGATCTCAACACCCAGAAAACAAAAATCGTCTCCACTGTACCAACACACAACATTCTTTGATCTTTCACAACAAATGCTCCCAGCTTCTTGAATAATTTGCTCAGCACTCAAAATTGAATATGTATGGAGAGGGAATACAATCCTGACACACTCCTGTCTTAATTTTAAATCAGTGTCCCCCTTGCTCTGTTCGTAGAACAGCCTCCTGGTCCAGGTATAGATTTCACGTGAGCACTATTAAGTCAATGTCAATGACAACTTGTTATGATCCACATGGTCAAATGCCTTTGCATAGTCAGTGAAACAGAAATAGACATCCTTTTGGTATTCTTTACTTTCAACCAGGATTCATCTGACATCAGGAGTTGAATTGGGTTCCATAACAGTGTATTTGGATTTGGATTAAATATCTTACCTCCCATTGTTTTTCAGTGTGAAAAAACCAATGGGAGTTCCTGAACAAAGTCATTCAACTCAGGGGAAATAAGATTGTATCTGTGGCATGAAAATTATTTTTAAAGGGTAACAGCCTTGAAAATCCCAAAACAGTAAAGATCCTTGACCAGAAGTGAGGAGACTCAATGTTGTTTTCTCAACTAATGATGGACCGGGTAAACTAATTAGAAAGCATCTTTTGGGAAGCAGGGCTTTATGAGGAGGAATGTGGGATCAGGATTGGAGGAAGACTCATCAATAACCTGTGTTATGTAGATGACACAACCTTGCTTGCTGAAATTGAGGAGGACCTGAAGCGCTTGAACAGAAGAAGGTCAAGGACTGTAATCTTCAATATGGACTGAAGCCCAACATCAAGAAGAAAAAGATTCTCACTACTGGGTCAGTTGGCAGCACCATGATAGATGGAAAAGCAATTGAGGTTATTAAGCTCCACAATAAACACCAGCAGTCAGGAAATCAAAAGACAAATTGCATTGGGAAAAATCTGCTGTCAGGGACCTTTCCAGAGTGCTGAAAAGCAACGTTGTCTGTCTAGAGGCTAAGGTGGGCCTAATCCAGGCCATGGTCTTCGCAATTACTTGCTATGCATCAGAGAGCAGGACAATGACTAAGGACAACAGAAGAAGAATTGATGCCTTCGAGTTGTGGTGCTGGAGAAGAGTCTTGAACATACCATGGACTGCCAATAAAACAAATAGATCTGGCTTAGAGAGGATGAAACGAAGTTTCACCTTGGAGGCTAGGGTGTTTTTTTTTAAATTTTTCTTTTCTTAAAAATGCAAATAAATGTCCCCCTGTCAATGTCACATAGGCAGCGCACACCCCATCCCTTCTTCTCGGTTTTAAACACCTGAAGCCTCACTTGTGGGCCATGCTGGACAACTCGGTTCTGACACATCTGCTGGTTACATTTGTACAACAGGCTGCACTCATAAATGCCAGTCGGTATCTGTCTCGGTAGTCTTTTACACATATATCCAGTGGTTACTGTATTACTTGACAAGCGACGAATGTTTGCATTCTTTGCTGCTGGCTGAAGACACGCACATTTTGTTATGTCTATGCAGCCCTCTGAACAGTCACATGAATCAGTAAACATGTTGGGAAAGTTGTTGAGATAATATGTGCGAGGCCACAGTCTTTCTGTACTTAAAATAAGGAAGCTTTCTACTGTCAATTTTGTTGCAGAAAGAAACAGGCACTGATTCTACACCACTGCTGATGTCCGCTTCAGAAATAATTTCTTCTTGCTTTGGGTAATTCTGAGTCAACCGAACATAGGTATTGAAAGAAAAATTATCTGTAAACAGAAAGTTGCACTCTGTCTCAATCAGGTAATGGAAAACTTCCTCCACATTTCGTAGACTCCTTCCACAAGGGGTTCTGTAACTCACATGGAGCGCTGACGAGTGAGAGTTTGTCTTGGAGTGTCGTCGCTGGAAGTGGCATTGGGTTGGCAGTTGCAGAGGGTTTTCTCCCTTGAAGGTGAGGGGCATTTTTATCAGACAGGCACCAGAGCAGGCATGACTTTTGTAGGATGAAGCCAACAATGGTTTTCTTTTTTGTAAATCGGTAACTTCATTTTCCAAAGGGAGAGTTTCCTTATTGTCTGCAGATAAAAATGCAGTCTTCGGGGAAGTGTTCACATAATGCAGAGGGCAGTAACCTTGATTTGTTTTCCTGTTCATCCTGCATCACAACTGTTCCATCTTTTATGAAGGTTGAACTGCCATTTATAGTTGCTTGATTCACCAGAATCATTGCTTGGATGTACTCTTTATTTGTGGCAGTCCCACCTTTGATCTTTTTTTTAATGATTCCAGAACATTTTGTACTTGCTCAAATATAAAGTCCACTTTCCCATCATCTTCCAGCTTCATCCAGAAAGTTTTTGCATCACCACTCTTTTCTCCCATCTTCTAGTGTTGTTTATAAAGATAAAACTGAAAATTAGCTTTAGCAAAAAAGGATGAATGATATACCTTTGATTGGAGAATATTACTGGAATACAAAGGCAGTCTCTGAAATTTGCAGTTCTCCGGCAAACTGCAACATTATACAATTTAAAAAGGATTATTTTTTTATGCTAAAATTTTCAAACAGAAACTGTGGTTGAAGAAATTTTCATAAATGATCAATAGTCCAACATATGACAAGTCTATGAAACTTCATAAAGTAGATGTTTACAGTCATATTAGATCACCAATGATTTTAAAAAAAACCAAAAAAATAATGCCATCTTTTCATCCACAAATGCATAATATTCTGTTAAATGGGTCAGTAGCTAAACCTTCAAGTTCTGTTTCATACACCAGTCCATTTCTCACAGTTCCTTTTCCACCTCAAGTTCCCAGCTGCTTAGCAGTCACCTGAGCAATAACTGTCCCATCTAGTCTCCTCTGAGGAAGAGAAAGATCGAAATTTCAAATCTCTAGGTTTATCTAACACGCTCTCTAAATGAGAGGTGTCTGAAGCAAAGGGCCCCTAATCATCACATAACATCTCATTGAGGCTAGGGTTTTGAAGCTCCGTCTCACATACTTTGAGCACGTGGCCAGGAGAGACTGGTCCTTAGAGGAGGACATCATTCTCAGAAAGGTGGAGAGACAGTGCAGGAGAGGAAGGTCCCGGATGAGATGGATTGATACAGTAACTGGGGCAGTGGGGGTTGATGTTTCTGAGTTAGTGAGACTGGCTCAGGATAGGGCAGTGTTCTGAGCTGTTGCACACAGGGTCACTATGGGTCACAGGTGACTTGACAGCACATAACAACAATACATGGAATCCTTGCTTTGGATTCTTTTGAGCTTAGAAATTTCTCCTTGCCCCTTCAAAGTCATAATGGCAGTTCTTTTTTGTAAAACCAACAGTAACAACCTCAGAAACCATAAAGAGGGGGCTCCTGAGTCAGAATCAACTCCCAGTAGTGGCTTTGGTTTAGTTTTTTTGTGGTTTAGCTTTTCCAGGTGTCATTTATCCTTCTAACCACAAGCCAATTGTAACCCTCTTATGTAGCTTATTTTGCTTAATGGGTGATGAAAAAAAAATTATCTGTTCAAACCAACATTCATGTTCACGGAGAATGACGCTGGCCCACTGTGCCAACACGAACAGAACATCCTGGCTGGAGGCTGACCAGGGCTTGAGGACCTGCATGACTGGGTTGCTGCCCACCAGAGAGGGAAAAGCCAGACCTGAACTTTCTTCCTCTCTTTTTATATGAAAAGATTGCATTTTCCCTTTCTTTTTAATCTGTCAATGCAGATATTTAAATGTTTAGATTTGAAAATAGGGATTATAATTGGAGTTTTGCAGGCTGATAGCATCTAGAAAAGCCCATGGGTATAGGAAGGGGTTCTCACTAACTGATGACTCTTAATGCCTCCCTCCCCTCCTGTCTTTACACGAGCAACTGCCTCAACTGCCTCTCACCCAGAAGTTGGTGGTTTCCAACCTTTTCATTTCCATCTGAAGAACTGTTAACCCATTATTACACTATGGGGTCTTCTTACTTACACCAGAAGGGCTTTTCACTTATTTTAAAGAGAATTCTCTTCTTACCAAAGATATTCACTGTCTGAAATCTTGTGCCAGAATCCTTTCTCTTAGGATACCATGGGCTTTCTATCATCAACAACAAAGTGGGTTTTTTGTTTGTTTGTTGTTGGATTTTTTTGTTTTCTCAATAAGTGAGTCTTTCTATTTGCTGGATCAGATAAGTTTTCAAATATTGAGATACTTTTCATTATTTTTTAATTATTTATTATATAAGTATTGATAGGATACACTTGATATCAGAATCAGAGGAAGACTCATCGATAACCTACATTAT